TTGATTTCACCTTTCAACAGTACTGTTTTGATTTGAGCACCACTAAATAGTCTTATGTAACCGAATCACGCGTCTAGCGTGCCAAATTATAACCCTGGTATCTTTGAGAATGTTTTCATGTAATAAGTCTGATTTCTAACAAATATACGATAAAAGGCGTCAATTAAAAAAAGACAAGTTTAAACTTCTTAGGGCGTATTTTTTATCATATAAATAAAACATGACTGATGGTTGCTCAAATTTGTTTCTAAAGATATACCCAGCACTTAAATATACATGGATATGCAAATACAAGTTTTGTACATGTGATTCCTGTATTGCTGGGGACTTATGGTAATAACATACCTTGCTCGTTTCTGATACACAAGGATGGCAACACAAACCATTGCAATTGCAAGAAAAGTTCCAATTACAGGTCCAGCTACCCAAGCCATACTCATGCTTTTGTCAACTTTGACACAACCTGAACAGAAATATAAAGAAGCGATAAAACTAAAAAAGAAATACATCTTGCTTTGAATTATTCTGAGTTTTAAATTGTTGAAATCTTTTGATTTTGTCAGTTACATTCAAGACGAAGATAAGCAGACGATTTTCGGTTGATAAAGGGGACATTTTTGTCTCCGAAAACGATTTCAACTGCTGAAAGTAAGAAGTTCGTCGGATTAAAATAAGCATACATTTATTCACTGTTTTCAATCTAAAAAAAGCAGGGGCGGATCCAGCCATTTTTAAAAGGGGGGTTCCCAAACAAGGTCAAAAAGGGGGGGGGGGGGGTCCAACTATATGTCCCCATTCAAATGCATTGATCGTCAAAAAAAAAAGGGCGGGTTCCAACCCCCGGAACTCCCCCCCCCCCCCCCCTGGATCCGCCACTGAAAAGAATGTTTTCCTTAAATGTTTTTGTTGTTCAAAACATCAAGACTGTTGCCTTAAGCAGATATTTTGATTTCAAGCTGATTTACGGGGGGAATAGGATAAAACATTACAGTACCTGTTACCGAAGATGGTATTGACCATACATATGGATATTGTGGATTACAGACGCTACAGAAATCAACAGCTTTCTGCTCTCCATCTGAATAACACTTTCCATCAATAAAACAAGTCTCTTCCTAGAAAAAAAAGTAGAATGTGCTTTGATACACACACGCACATTTATATATAATATATATATATATATATATATAGAAATTTATATAAAGAAAGAGACCTACAATATACTAAATATGTTCCGGAGGCGATACTGCATAGATAAGGATACATATCTATATATTTAAATAATTTGTGTGTTTAATTAAACGTGAAGCTACACCATATTTATGGAAAAAAAGTACCAGATCTACTACGATATAAATTAGTTGTCATGAATCAAAGCAATCATGGCAAATAACCACATTATATAATTTGAGAAAGGGATGATTTGTTGTGATGTGTCGGGTTATCTCATTGTGAAAAATCATAATTTTGTAATTATTGTTCCTCGTTTTTTCCCATACTGAAATAATTTATACCTAAACGTACTATTCGGTTGACAGATTGTTATCATTGTGTACTTAAATATACTGAGATAACAAAAAAATCCACAAGCCGTACTGGTCCTCTTATGTTCATTTGATCAATGTTATATCAATATTTGTTTAAAATAAGCCATTTTACTATAATGATAGTATTAAATTGAAGTTGTAACAGAGCATTCTACAAAAGAGGTGCAACATATATTTGTGCTACGATCGCATATCATTCGTAGTATACAACCGTTCATACACTGGTAGTAAAGAGGGGTGGGGTGGTTCAGTGGCTTCATCTACAGTTCAACAGTTATCACTGGTCTGTCAACACAAAGCGTGGGAGTTCGAATGCCGTTTCTGCAAATTAAGGAACGTTCAACTCTGATCCTAATTGGTTAGGGTTGCCAGTTTTCCTGCCAAATATCTGTGTTTCTCTGCAGGTATTGCGGTTTCCTCCCTCAATCAATAACAACTGGTCGTCATGATACGGTCAAGAGCTCTTACAGAACCATTCAACACCAACAGTTTACCAGTAAAATAATTGTAAATGGATACACTATCTACTAACATACTTTTGACGTGGCTTGGTATTTATAAATCCCGCCATTGTGTTATTGTGCTTAGGTCATTTTTTGTATTGTCTTTCATTTTTGCTTATGTACTTTGTCAATAGAGTGTCAATATGCCATTTTGTTTTTCTTTGTTGAAATACTTATTTGTTTTTATGGTGATTAAGATAATAACACAATGTTGACTGCTGTACCCCATTTTTTGACTTTTTGCAATTGCCTATTATGTCTGTTTGTTTTGTTCACACATTGTTGTTAATATAATGGAATTCTATGCGACTGTCATACGAGTGAGAGGTTCAGCTAGCTATAAAACCAGGTTTAATCTACCATTTTATACATGGAGAAATGAATATGACAGTTTTTTTTCATTCGTTTGATGTGTTTGAGCTTTTGATTTTGCCATTTTTCCGTTTTGAATTTTCCTTGGAGTTGTTATTTAATTTTTGAACCATTCTAGTTGTCTTCTTTTGTTTAAACAGAAATTTATACACCACAAATGTTTGGCATGCTCGATACTAATTCATTTATTAGATCAATAGCTGCATGTATAATCCTTCCAATATAAATAATCATTACCTTAAGTACGAATTGTGGTAGGTTTGAATGCGTTTTTGAACGTTGACATTTCGAATCAAATATGAATAACTCTAGTTCATCTCCAAAATGTTCCATATCGTAACTTATTCTCATGGAAAACAACTCGACAAATTTGTCCATATTAATGGAAGCGTCACGTTTGTGTCTGGTATTGCTTTCGATAGTCAGAGGACAGTGCACCTCCATTATAGTCTCTAGTCTTGCAATTGCTATCCAGGAAGAAGACAATACTTTCATACCCTTCTTTGTTAGCTGTAAGAATATATATATACAATAAAAGCCAGCAAGAGTAATGCAGATTTAAAGTTTAAATTATATGACAAAATAAAGACAATAAATGTATATTTCAGAGCGACTTTTGGCTATTTTTTACATGCATTTCTACACTCACGTATGCCTTATACAAATGTATAGAACTTATAATAAATTTGTAACGCTCACTTGACATGTTTGTAAAATAAAGCGATGTGAAATAATTGCTTATGAGACATAGATTCACAATAGAACATAGATCAAGCATACTTTAACAACCATTGATCACTGGTCGGCCTTCAATAATAAACTAAACCTCAACAGTAGGGTAAGCCAGAAAAGCAATATTTAATCATGAATAGTATTTCACGTAACTATGTAGCTCAAACTTTTAGTAAAAGTATTATACAAAATTTTTTTATCCGGTGAAACCATATCGAAGCTTATACTTGCAAAAATACAAATAGATACCAACTATCAACTTAACAGCTGTACCTTCAAGATTAGTTTTGGTAAAGCTGTTTCTCATATGTGAATATTATTGACAAGATCTCATAATAAGGGATTCTGCATTAATTTCAAGAAGTTCCCAGGCTTAATGCAAATATTCAAGACAAAATTCAGAAATATAAACACTGATCTATGCTAGAATTATATCTTAATATGATCATCTGAAGGATGTAATTTTGTAATTTGGTAAATTTGTAGATTTATGTTACTTTGATTCTCAAATCGGACGGGGCCAAACATATGTGCCTTATATTACCTTCTTCTTTGAAGATTTGTAAATTCTCTATTTAAAATTAAAAAAAAAAAGATAATATTTAATGTAAAAATTCACAAAACATTCATAAATTTATATTGATTTTCGTGTTGACTGTCATTAGCTATTTGCCAATGCTAGTTATACCATAGGACCATCAGACATATTTGTCAAAGAGGTCTCTCTAAGAATAATGTCAGGCAAGTTCGGCCTTAAGAGGTCTCTCTAAGAATAATGTCAGGCAAGTTCGGCCTTAAGAGGTCTCTCTAAGAATTATGTCAGGCAAGTTCGGCCTTAAGAGGTCTCTCTAAGAATTATGTCAGGCAAGTTCGGCCTTAAGAGGTCTCTCTAAGAATTATGTCAGGCAAGTTCGGCCTTAAGAGGTCTCTCTAAGAATTATGTCAGGCAAGTTCGGCCTTAAGAGGTCTCTCTAAGAATTATGTCAGGCAAGTTCGGCCTTAAGAGGTCTCTCTAAGAATTATGTCAGGCAAGTTCGGCCTTAAGAGGTCTCTCTAAGAATTATGTCAGGCAAGTTCGGCCTTAAGAGGTCTCTCTAAGAATTATGTCAGGCAAGTTCGGCCTTAAGAGGTCTCTCTAAGAATAATGTCAGGCAAGTTCGGCCTTAAGAGGTCTCTCTAAGAATAATGTCAGGCAAGTTCGGCCTTGTGTATCATTGGTGATGTTTGAACTTAACGATAGGAATGCAAAAGTGAAAACAAAAACATAAGAGAGAGATTGTTGATGCAACTCAATGACAAAAATAACCAAAATACATTTAAAAGACAACATTCAGTCTTACATGTGTCTATACAATAGGCCAAGCTCTAAATGGCCTCAAGTGTTTATATGTGAAGTGCCAGTAACTTCCAAACTCATATCCATTACATTTACTCAAAACTCCAAAATTGGATTTGTTACACACTTATAAGTATATATATCAGACCCACAAAATTTCTATTGCAAACAAATGATAATGCATTTAGTCATGCATGACTCGTACGTATTTCGGACTGGCAAAAACAAAAACTTAAAGATTTTCGATTGGTATGCGACCCCAATATTATTACAAATATAAAACAAATATTGGTGCCATACGATTCACGAAGGTGAACAAGTGCGATATTACAAAGACGATTTCGCTTACATTGTTTGAAGGGACACATTGCCCCGCTCGCATTAAATTTGATATTGCAGTGAACTGTCAAACCTTAATTTGGTAAATAACCCCAATAGTTGATATCATAACAAACATGTGTACTAAGTTTCAAATTGATATGACCTCAACTTCATGGTTGACTGAATATTTTAACCTGAAAATATATTAATCTCACACTTTGACATTTCCATGTTCAGTGAACCGTGAAGTCGCGGTCAACACTGTCATTTGACATATACTATTTTAAGGTTACTTAATAGTACACATCAAGTTGTTTAGACCATATCATTTTTGTAAATTGCCTTCACTTAATACTTCAATATTTATTTACACGGGACGAATGGATGGACGAACAGACGAATGGACGGACGAACAGACGAATGGACGGACGCACAGACAGAAAAAAACATAATGCCCACTACCATTTCCCTTTTCAACTTATACTGTATATCTCGTAGCTCATTCTGCTGTTTTAAAACAGAAACAATCAAAGAAATGCCTTCAAAACCCAATTCTCCAAACAATGTATAACATTCATGCACTCATGGAGATTTGACATATGGCAACTACTGACGAGGTTCGGGACTTGGGATAGTCACATGTAAATTTGGCTCGTTTAAAGTACTAATAGTTCACCGAGATCGCGACCTTTCCCTCTTACTCTCAATCAGTAAATTGACAAAAACATACATTAAAAACATAGAATAAACAGAGATACAAAAAAGGCAGTTACATCTTAACTCCAGAATAGACTAGAAAAGCTCATTAACCGGGACTTATACAACCACATCCTGGATTAATACATGAGTAATCTATGATAGTGACTGATATACACAGAATCAGAGAATTTTATACTATTATTTTTGACTTTTCTTAGTGTCTTTTTTTTATATATTGTCTCAGTGTACATCCTACATGCATGCATATTTGTATATTATAGATGAAAGGAACCTTTTGTGACGAGTTGCGAAGACAATGCAGGAGCAGGTCTACATTTCTCTTGAAAAAAAATGCACTGGAATACTCTAAGCATATGCACATTTTCATTAGGTTCTAACAATGTACCAACTTCCATTAAACCTATGATATATTTACGAGTTGCGATGACAAGGTAGGTTCTGAACAGGGCCAACAATTTCTAAGCTGAAAGAGGATTATCTCTAGGAAAACTCAAATAATTCAAACAACCTACCAAAATGCACAAGTTCGGTGCTGGACAAGGTCCAAATTTTTAGTCCCAGATGCACATCTGCATTTATAGGATATAACAATATGCTAATGTTCATATGTATACTATATACCATGTAGCAGGAGTTGCGATGACAAGGGCGGCTGTAAAAAGGAGTCTACATTGTTTAGGTAACATGGCCAAAATTCTAAATAAACGTTAAAAGTTCTTCACGTGATGATCTTGCATGGCAAGATCAATTCTTCTGCCAAGTTTGGTGTGAATCATACAATGGATAATTACTTGGATTAGGACAGACACACTGATTCCTATTCATTTCTCCTGAATGCTTGTTTGCGCAGATATAATACTGATAAAATAAAATAAAATATATAGTATAATAGCAATGAATCGCGGTTCTGAAATTAAGCTCAAAGTACGAAACTTGTTGATAAGAAAACATACAGTCCTACATTTGATCTCGGTTGCAACAACGTCATAAATATGACAGAGAGTCATGATTATGTATAATGCCAAAAGCAAACAACACAGGAAAAATATATTTTTTATTGAATCAATCTTTTATTATACCATACCGAATCAATATTACTGATTTGAAACTGGATAGAAATGGAATACTCCGGTAAACATGAAATTATTTAAAATATTGTAATATTGTAATGTAATATCAATGTACTCTTATTCGATATTCTCCCTGGATACCTAATAACTAATATATCAGGGATACTTAGTACAATGCTGTACACTAAGTAAATTGTTAACAGCAATAGCGTGCAATAAAATATATTAGTTACGTTAAAAAAAAAATATTACTAAAATACGAGAAACTGTGATTGAACAACAACAATTTAAATGTTTAACCAACGATCTGAATTGATATGCCATGAATTCTAAATTTCATTACGACAATTTCGAATGATTTATTTTTGTGAAATAGTACCTGTAACGTATTAGTAAATGTTATAGTATTTTGAATAGTTACGTGATATTTTTGAATACTACAGGACAAGTTCGGACTGCTTCCAACGTCCTCTCCTAAAACAAAGGCCGTATCACATTCGATTTCACTTAGATCACAAAACCCATCTCCGCGTACTCCAAACATCACAGGAGGTGTTGTTTTATCAACTGAACAATCTGATGCAATATAACCATTATGGCAGTAACATGTACCTATATAAATTCAATTATTACTGCTTTATTTGCCAACTGAAATATCCAAGTAAATAAAAAGACGTGGTATATTGTCAACGGATACATATTATGATGAGTTTTTCACATGCATTTTATAAATATTATTTTGAAACTATAAACACGTGAAGCATTACTACAAGTACCAATTTGGAGAAGGCATGCGTAATTGGACCACTGAACGTTTTTTCTTCAATTTAACCTTTGTCGTACCATTTGAGACTTATTTTAAATATTTATCATTGTATCTTTTCCCGATTCAGTCCTTAATATCATCTTGAGCCAGCTATTTGTCTATAAAATATGTATCGTATGAATGCATTACTATGATAAGTATGCTACGACTGATACGTTACGTTCAAAATAGAAGAATTACTAATTAATGTATAGCAATTGTCTTTCAGAATATGACGAGACTCTATTTAATGAGTGATTTTCAATATAAAACTTCCTCTTTTCTGTGAAGAATTGACGTGATTAAAGAGCGATGTATGAATGTATTAAAAGAAACGTGATATTCGTATAATCTAGCTTATTATCACTTTCATCGTCAGTTTAGAAAAGTTTTTGGAGTCTCGAAATAATAATTCTCAAAACGAACTAACCGTTTACACAAGAACCGTTTCCACTGCATTCTGGAAGACCAGGGCAGAGTACTTCCCGCACAGCGTCTGCAATTGTCATTCCGCCACCTTCTGGTTCCTCGCTCAGAGTGCTGTTGTCAATTAGCTCCCCAAAACAATTTGATTTGAAGCTTTCCATTGTTGCTTTGGTCCATGACAATGATTTCGACAACTGAAATTGAAATAGCATTATCTGGTGGAAAAAGAGTAAATTTACATTGCCTATTATATATTTCAGAGAGAGAGAGAGAGATGTAAACCAATCTGTACAATAGAGACTATACGACTTTCAATTTGAGACATCATGGTTTAATAAATTCTTATAACATAAAGAAAGCAGACATTTAGCCAAAAGTTAATATGAGTGAAATTCTATTCTATTTTGTTTATATTTTAATTGATACAAAACCTGAATGTCGAGGGCACATGCTTCCAATGACGATTCACTTTGGACATTAGGAACTTGGCTACAAGCCTTAAATACAGAAGATGCTCCTAGAGTGTGTTGACAGTACTTTTCCGCCTCATTTTTAGTCATTGTAACATTATCGTGCTGCTCATTTGAAACCTAAAACATATCATGCATTATATTATACAATTATAGCCTTTGTGTGAGGTCGATATGAGGTTATATCGACGTAAGAGAAGCATATTGACTGAGGATTAAGTCCGAGGTCTATATGCTTCTCTAGGTCGATATAACATCGTATTGACCTCAACAACAGGCTACAATTGGTATTTTATTAATCAACAACTATTGCATGAACAATGTAAGATTGCAGACTTCTAGAATATATTTCAGTAACATGCTGTATGCCCTGTGCAATAAGCTGTTTTTTTACCTACGAAGAGCTAAACACAACAGTATTGGCGTTCAAACTGAGTAAATACACATGTTCATGTGACCAAGTTTTAACGAATCTCAAATCCTTAAAAATATACGATTAATATTGTTAGAATATAACAATCATTTACGAGACCTAAACCATTAAATGTTTCGAATTGACTACACAAAAACAGCCAAAAAATGGTATCCAAATATATCATGCTTACAAGGGGTATGTATTTGCCAAAAATACCAGTTGAGAGGTAAACAAATTTCAAGAGCCGTTAGGCAACCCTAAGGGAACGAACTGTGTGCCTCTCCTTGCCGATCTCTTTTATTTTCATATGAGTCGAAGTTCAATCAGACACTTGTCAAAAACAAGAAGATCAAAGAAGCCAGATCATTTAATTTCACATTCAAATATGTTGATGATGTTCTTTCCATTAACAATCCAAATTGTTCTAATTAAGTTCCATTGATATATCCTCCAGTACTAGAAATTAAATAAACAAAAGACACGGCTTCCTCTGCTTAATTTTTAGACTTATACCTCGAATTTGACATAGGCGGCGGTCATCTCAGTACCAGAATCTATGCCAAACGAGACGATTTTAATTTTGAAATGATCAATTTTCCCCCACCTTAGTAGCAATATACCAACTTGACCTGCATATGAGATATACATTTCCTAACTCATTCGGTATTCAAGACCTTGCAGCTGCTACTCAGACTTTGTAAAACGTCGCCAGTATTTGAGCAGAAAGTTGATGAACCAGGGTTATGTCAATGAATGTCTCGTCCTCTTTCTAAAATAAAATTCATCGGAAGATACCAATACCTTGTTTATAAATATTCCGTATCAACTTCACAAATAATACACGATGGTCTTGAGGTGTAGATTCTAGGTATTGACGTTGTTTATCGTCTGAATAACGTTTTATAGTATTCTTTTATTTGTCTTGGTTTAGGGGGCCTCGGTGGCCGAGTGGTCTAAGTAGTTACTACTGTAATCACTAGCCAGTCAACACTGAGGTTGTGAGTTCGAACCCCGTTCGTGCGGATGCACTCGACTCCAATCTTAATTGACTAGGATTGTCAGTTTTCCTATCGAAGGTCGGTGGTTTTCTCCGGGCACTCCGGCTTCCTCCACCAATAAAAACTGGCAGCCACGAAATAGCCCAAAAGCGGTGCTTAAAAGTGACGCTAAAACACAAAAAAAAATCATTTATTTGTCTTGACAAATTATTACTTTTACTGTTTAGTCTATTTTTGGTAATATCCATTTGACGTGGCTCGGTACTTATAGATCCTGTCATTGTGTTATTGTGCAATGTTAAAATTTTTGTATTCTTGTCTTTCGTTTTTGCTAATGTGCTTTGTCTATATATTTGTTTTTCTATGTTGACATATTTGTTTCTTTTTATAGTGATTAAGATTATAACACACTGTTGACTGCTGTACCCCTATTTTTGATATTTTTACCTATTATGTCTGTTTCTTATGTTCACACATCGTTGTCAGTATAATGGACTTTTATGCAACTGTCATACAAGTGAGAGGTTTAGCTAGCTATAAAACTAGGTTTAATCCACCATTTTCTACATAAGAAGATGCCTGTACCAAGTCAGGAAAGTTTGATGTGTTTGAGCTTTTGATTTTGCCATTTGCTTAGAGACTTTACGTTTAGAATTTTCCTCGGAGTTCGGTATTTTTGTTATTTCACTATCTCAGGCAAAATAAATGTTCACATAAATTAAACGAAAATGTATTTCATTCAAAACTTATAACAAGTGTTTATCTTCGAACAGGTACGCATTTTCTGCCCCAAATGGACTAAACATGAACTACGAACTAGCTACACTTTAATGCTTGTCTTGTTGTCGGTTGACCAAAAGATCGTCGTAGTGCACCATATACAAAAAGAAAAGCATCAGAGAAACACTAGCTTATCACTAACATGACTTAATGCTTTGTTAGAAAGAAAAAAAAATAGAAAACTCTTAATGTTATAGTTCGTCTAATAGAGATGCACTTACGATAGAACGTTTACGACGATGTCTTCGAAAACTTTTCCATGGATACTCAATTGAACGTTTTTTTCTCAAAGGTTTTTCGTGGCAGGTTTTGGACCCTATAGAGTCATAATGCTTATTCCGTTCACAAGGTACAGAATAAGAAGGTGAACAATCAAATTCCTCAGCCTCTTTTGTGTCAGGTGGACATGTACAGTAATTGTCGTCGTTGTTCCACAATTTAATGGTTTTATTATCTGCAGTCAAGGAAAACAAATTTTCATTTTGCGTTCTAATCTTGTCATCAATTCTGAAATATACCCCAAATTTGCGTTAAATGTGAAAACTTATAGTCATTTATTACTTTATTAGACATTTTTATTTTATTTTATTTTATATAACAACCTTGCAGTAGGCAAATATAAAAGACTTGATTACTTATCTTAATTTAAGGTTAATCATTGATGACTAATATCCTTCAGAAAGGTTAAATGAACCAAGACAACAAATTTGGCACAATTAGGGATTTTAATTTTAGATAAGATGTATGAACATATGAGCTTAATAAGTAAGGTCTATACAATATCAGCAATTAAATAAAACAAATATCGACATACATAAATTATACATATATCATATTTCACAAACTAATTAATCAAAGGTCAAAAATGTATATTATAAAGCAAAGAATAGTTGCAAACTCTTGGTATGTATATTTATATTAAATAGAAAAAAATCAATATTGAAGATATTACCTCCATGATTTTGTGAAATCTTTAGGATATAAAGCTGTATAGCCCTGATTGTTACATTCATCTTTAGTTCCAGAGACGGTGCTCAGTGCATTGTTCCGTAGTTTAAAATCGTCTGTGCAAGTATCACTAAGAAAACCACAAAGCCCTCTTGTGTTTCTTGTATCATGCAGTGATGCTTTGATATCGACATTAAAGTACTTAATTGATGCAGTTATGTCAACTCGTGTGCCAGTTGGAAAAAATATCTGTAATGATATAACATTTCAATCATTAGCAAAATTATAATAATATATAGAAAGTTTAGTTTGAATGTGTAGAATAATTACAAAAGGTAAAGAGAACATCATTCGTTTAATTTTTAACAAGGGAGTGAAGACACCAATAAAAGTTATAAAACAGATAAATCAATAAAAAACAAATATCAAACTCAACAAAGCAAAGCAAACAACTTATAGTTGCTAACGCTTAAGTATTTTGGACATTGGTCGATAGTTGTGTCAATGTCAATCATACCAAATCTCCTTATTTTTATAAGCATTACAGAACATAGTATAGCAAATAAGCTACAGTACTAATCAACGACAACATTCTACTGATCAACCATCGATCCCAGCAAGTACAGAATCTCACAAAAAATATATAACAAAAATAAAAATATCAGTAGTTACATTAGTAACATTAGTTTGAAAATATATTATCACAAGAGATTTAAGGTGGTACCCAACACCTTGACTAATATTAATTTAGCTCGTTTAATTTTCATAAAATTTTGACAAAATGTTTACTTTGACCCTTTGACAAAAATATAAAAATTTCAAAAAATTTGAACCAACCACTTTATCAGAAAAATTTCATTGGTTATATAGCAGTTTGACAAACACTAATTTTGATCATTGAGAAGCTTAATATTTCCTTTACAATACAACGTTATTAAAACGTTTAGCTGATTTTTACAGAGTTATCTCCCTGTAGTGTTAGGTACCACCTTAACTGTCATGACCTGACCTAATGTGCAGCTATGCATTCTGAAACTAAAAAAAATCCAAATTGAATTCACTAAAATGAAACTGATAAAACCCTGAATAGCAAGTCTTATTGTAACAAAACGTTCAAATAATTTTACAGTAAATGAAAGTGACTTTAATTGTACAGAGCATTTTGTTTTAAATCAGAGGAGAATGTGTTCATTTTTCAAATTGCAATCAGTAACAAAAACAACTTTGTTATACTGCAGTCGGATTTGCTTTTTAACAGTCAATGGACCGGTACCATTACCAATATTGATATTAGCTGTTGATAAGAATAGGTTTTCATGCGATAGGTCTTGGGATTAACTATAGTCCTTAGTAAAAGAGAGGCGAAAGATACCAGAGGGACATTCAAACTCATAAGTCGAAAAAAAACTGACAACACCATGGCTAAAAAAGAAAAAGACCAACAGACAAACAGACAAACAATAGTACACAAAACACAACATAGAAAACCAAAGACTGAGAAACACGAACCCCACCAAAAACTGGGGGTGATATCATGTGCTAAGGAAGGGTAAGCAGATCCTACTCCACATGTGGCATCATTTGTGTTGCTCGTGTTAGTACAAACCTGGTAATAAGTCCAATTCGGTAGGTCACATTCGGGAATCGGGACGGGAATGTAGTTACGACATTAGGAACATATCCGCTATCATCTGTGAAACGGATATTCCATAACGGTTAACCAACTCGTGATGGCGTCCGTAAAACTTACGAAAGGATGATTTCAACTTCACCACTTGGAATTCTTGGTTTAATAGCTTCCTTGTGACAGCAACCCTCTATCAAGGAAATCATGATAGGAAATACAAGCCCTGGAATATCGTATCAACTGGGAGATATATACTCTAGTAAAGAACGAATGTTTTGGCATTAAGGTTTAAACGAATTTTGAATAAAGATTATTTACAAAAAAAAGGTTCGATTAAATATATTGTCTATTGTCACTATCGCTTCCATACCTTTTAGCAACCTTCATGCGATTGTATTGTCAAAGATTTTAAAAAGGACTGAATTTAATGACACAGCTGAAATAAAACGTTTCCAAATCAAATGCCTTTGTGAATACTTGAAAAATAGGCCTCAAATTACGTTGCAAAAAAAAACATTGTTCAAAATACAGAAGTGGATGGAAATCGAAAATAAAATTCATTGTTTGATATACAGGACCTGCAAGGAATTGTATATCGGACAGACATATTATGACTTTTCCTTTTGGTAACAAATATGTTCTCATAGCAAACAGATTAGGTATCTGAGAGTAAAAATACACGATCTGAAAGAACGTTTGGGTACATGCAGTAGAGGAATTTAAAGTATTTCCGTCTTGCTAAATGAACGACTTTTATACAATCGAAAATTTCGGTTCTGTAATATTCGTGATGGTTGGTAAATTATGGCGTTGTTGTATAAATATAAATTAAAACACACCACCCTATGGATTGCATCCGTTGATCTCTGGTGGATATTTTTATCTTTGGCAATACTTCAACATTTGCTTAAGTTTATATAGATAAGGATGAAAATGGCAAAATTAACTTTTTTGATCAGCCTATCACTCTGATGGAGGTATATATAGCAAGTAAGTTGAGTTAAGAAAGATGAAAAGTCACCACTGTTCGTGTGTTGATGTTGATTTGTATACCTTATAGATACAATCGATTTACAATTTATGAAATGGATCTATAATTACATAAAATATACGTAAACAAATGCAAATAATTCTCGAAATTCCGTACACAAAATGTTGTTAAATAATGATATGCTTTTACAGTAAACAATTCCTTTTTAATGATATTCAAATATATGGGGGTCATCGTTTCTGTGTAAATCGTTAATTGATAATACCTCTATCTTCTATTGTATGAAATGTTAACGACATCTAGCCTGTGTAGCATAGTTTATAGGTGATTGATCGGTTGCAGTTTTGAATCTAGATTACGACGTTCGTATTGTTAAAATTGTGTAGGTTTTAGCGCGACTGGAAAGAACAAAAAATTAGTAGACGGATAATGGATAGACTCTAGATAAAAACAGACGCTAGCACTAGGCTATTGAATCAGTAAAATTCATGTATAAATATCTGCATTATATAATGGATAAATGGTAAAAATCAAATGGATAGAACGCCATATCTTGTTCTACTCATCAGACGAAAATGTAAAAGTCAATAAGACAATATCAAAATAATAAAGTTACTCTGACCAATGAAAGTATGTCTCTTACTATGAGCAACAACTACCTTCTTAAATAATGCATTGCTGGGAACCGTCTCGGTTGAAAAATCTTAGTTGACGATGTAATTGTCCTTATTTAAAACGACATGCCGTTATGCGTATCCATTGTTGACTTTTTTTTTACAGGGAAGTGCTAAATTTTCAAGTTTCTCTTAAAGTATAAAGTATAAGTAAGTCTTAATTGTCAAATATTCAATATGCAAATGTTATATTCCCGTGTGTTTTATTGACTCATTAGATGTCTAACTATCTACAGAAAAATAATAATTGACCATCTTTTTTTTATTTGTTCCCTAGGAATGCGTGCGTAACATCGATATCTTTAAAAGAATTAAAAATATGATAGGCACTCACTTATACGTTCTATAGAAAAACAATTATTGACCATCTTCTTTTAATTTTTTTCCCTGTAGGAATGAGTGCCTAACAGCGATATCGTTGAAAGAATGAAACATGATAAAGACTCACTTACACTGTACTGTCTGTCATTTTTCTTTTGACGACGAACATCTAAAATTTTATCATGACAAGTCCTATATTCAAACAAATGTTTATCACCATCATCATCACACTTATCGGCTATGAAGACATCACCACCAGCTCTAACAGCAACACCACAGTTACAAAAATTTACTTGGTGAGGAGGATGGCAGCTCTTTAGTTTAATTTGAACCTGAAATTCAATCGTAGAGTTAAAACTTGCTGCTTATGACCTAAAGATCACTTATTTCAATTTGATAAGGGATATTTTCACTAAAACATGTCTGATAAATTTATGATGACCACATGTTGCTTTGAAATTAAAAAAAAAACTAGAATAAAAAATGCATTAAATTAAATGCAGTTAGTTTACCTAATCCTAACCCTAACCATAACATTAAGGAAAAAAATAAACCTATATAATTATATATTGTATATACGCAGGCACGTTTATAGAGCATCATGTTTTGTTTTATTTGATGTGGTTCAAGATTTTGGATTAAATCAATAAAATTGAAATAAAGGTTAAAACTACAAAATTATTCACCAGATTTATCCTTTGCATTAAATCTTTTTTAAATAATTAAATAAAACTTCATTCTTTTCCTCATGCTTTTCACTTAGATTTTTGAGAACTTGGTTAAACAGTAGACATACATCACATAGTCATTATCATAATGAAAGACATAGTTAAATTTTTGCATACCTATGTTTTTCTGATATATTTGAAATGATGGTGCAATATTATGTTTTACTATTACAATATTCAGTCAATAAAATAAAACACAATACAAAGATACACAAGTGGAGAAAGCTGTAAAATAAGAAAAGATTGGTAAAATAGTACACTTTACCTGCATCTGTCTGTTTTGGTCCTTATGTTCGTATAATATATATACTCCCTTTTCTTGATGTTCATATTTCCTAAATAAAAATAAATCTGGAACGTCTAACATACTATATAAATTCAAGAAATGATATGATCATATCAGCATAAAACATTAAATTATGCATATGCAGTACAGATGGTACTGGCTTGTTGATAGTAACACTGCTGTACGGCACAGGACAAAATGGAAAATAGCTGTTTTAGCACCAGGCTCTTCGAATAACACTATGATACATACAACAAAGTATTGTTAAAACCTTAACTTACATATAGGAACCTACGGTACTTTGAAATTAAAGGAACGCAAAGTTAAAGAATAATGCTAGCTTCTTTTCGTTCTTCTCGAGAAGCTCTTTTATGTAGTCTTTATAATATGAACAAAGACATAAGTCGGCAAGAATTAGGGCACAATAAATCCCCATAGAAATGCCGATCGTTTGTTGAAAAAAAACGTCCTCGACACGTTACAAATATATGTAGGTTGTCAATTAAAACATCAAGAATATTTTAGAGACTTTTTTTGTTTGAATCATAATATGATTTATTCCTTCCTTAAACAAGTTCTTCGTACATGTATCTACGTTAGCCATTCCTTTTGATGAAACAAAGTTTGACTTGTACTTTCAATCTGTCTTAAAATTTATAATGGTGTATATTAGTGCAAAGGTAAAGAAGTCAAATGGTTTATACTATTGCAAGAGGATAGAGACTTAAATGTTATGTACTTTTACAGATCTTTAGAATGTTAAATTCAAACCGCCCATGGAAAAGGCAGTTCCACAGTTTATCTAAAGCTGAACTAACTAGAAATTGACAATGAGGATCGGTTGAGAACAAAACTATACGATAAAAAGATGATTTCAGCTTCCCAGTTGTATAATTTTCATTTCTATGTAGCACCATTCCAGCTGCGCCTGCATATGAAATATATATTACCAAGTTGATACGATATTTCAAATCTTGCATTTGCTATCATGATTTCCATGATAGAGGGTTGTTGCTCACAAGGAAGGTATTAAACCAAGAGTTTCAAGTGGTGAAGTTGAACTCATTTTCTTCGAAAATTTAACGGATGCCATCACGAGTTGGTTGATTGTTATGGAATGTCTGTTTCACAGATGACGACGGATATGTTCCAATTATCGTAACCACAATTTCTTCCTCGTTTCAAAGAATGCGACCTACCGAAGTAGACTTATCACCAGGTTTGTACTTACATGATCAATACGATGTGTGCCAAATATTGAGGAGGACCTGCTCAACCTCCGAACAACCTTAGATCATCCCCAGTTTTTGTTGGGTTCGTGTTCTTAGTCTTTCGTTTCCTATGTTGTGTTTTGTATACCGTTGTTTGTCTTCTTGTTTTTGTTTTTTGTTTTTTGTTTTTGCCATGTCATTGTCAGTTTGTTTTTGGCTTATAAGTTTGGATATCCCTTTTGGTATGTTTCGCCACTTATTGTCACTTATTTATCAAAGATGCTGCTTTGGTTTTCTTTAAAGTCGTGACTAATGGTAATGGAATTATCTTATTTTAAATTAGGTTCATTCTCTATAATTCCCCATATGCTTTGGAAGAATGGAAAACACGTTTCGGCATAAAATAAGAATTTCATGTACGTTCTTGATTATTATCTTTGTTCTACAGCATTTTTGTGTAGTCAATAAATCGTTTTGCTTCTTCACGGGCTGTATAGATCTTTACTCTTGTAATTGTATCCTTGAGCAACTACATGATTAATTAGTTGTCCAAATCTTAGTTTTGTTTATTTCAAGTTGATCATATTCTGATTGTTCTCAAAGTCTGATTAAATGATTACCGCGGGAGCATTGTTTTAATGACACAATACTATTATTTGGAGTTATATGTCTCATGAGTATATTAATACTAGCACATACCATATATCCTTGTATCAAGTATACTAAAGTCCTTTTAAAATATTTCAACTCACGATTACCTTCCTTGATATTACCAGCTGTCTAACAGAGGGTCTGCTACTTTTAGCCTACTGATACCAAAAAGGCTGTCACCCCCCCCCCCCCCCAAACCCCCACAAATTGCGCAATCTTTTTATCAGATGTGTTTATGTATTCTTGCTCTAAATATGCATGAAATATTTGCCATGTCACAAGTCACTCTTAATATAATAGAGAGTAAATCCCTTCGTAAATTTTACGGACGCCATCACGAGTTGGTTGACCGTTATGGAATAACCGTTTCACAGATGATATCAGATATGTTCCTTATGTCGTAACTACAATACCCTCCCATTTCACGAATGTGACTTACCGAATTAGACTATTTACCGGATTTGTAATAACATAAGTAACACGACGGGTGCCACATGTGGAGCACGATCTGCTTACCCTTCCAGAGCACCTGAGATCACCCACAGATTTTGATGGGGTTCCTGTTGCTTAGTCTTTGTTTTTCTACGTTGTGTCATCTGTACTATTATTTGTCTGTTTGTCTTTTTATTTTTGGCCATGGCGTTGTCAGTTTGATTTCGATCTATGAGTTTGACTGTCCCTCTGGTATCTTTCGTCCCTCTTTGAGAAAAAAGGTTCATAGAGCATTTGGCATACCGGTACTTCTGTAGTTTTGGTACCCAATAGAGTGAACGAAAAAATTAGGTTTTCGTCTACTATTAAAATTCCCAAGATCAATAAAACAGAGCTTTGTTCCCATTATGTTTGTAATGCAATATTTTACCTTCCGTCAAACGTTTTCATGTGTGGGTCGTTATGTGATTCGCAGACCTTTCCAATCCAGTCATCGGGTGCTTCATTTACGTTGACCTTCAAAAGATAATAATATCTGTTAAGTCATATAACTCCTAAACCATACATGTACAATTTAATAGACCTACATGGAGTATTAATGCTTTGACTTGACATCCATGATAAATGACACAGAAAATGAACTCAAAATAACATCTTTACTTGTATCGATTTTTCACTGAAACTGTAAGAGATATGTATTTGACATAATGACAAATATTTGATTAATTTGGGTCAAACCAATCAAGATGATATCTCTTAAAGTTCTGTCCCTGAAATGTTTATATTGATGACTTATTGCTTATTACCGTCTCCTCAGTAGGACGAGAAATATTTATCCAAAGGGGAAAGTATGAAGAAGAAATAAAATGACCCATAGGGCGCAGTTTGATACGACCGCAGAGGTCGAATTCTAAACAGTTGGGGCAAATATGGACACAATATTCAAGCTTGATACAGCTCTGAGTTTGGATTGTGATTAAATATTTGACACATCATAGGTTTCTGACACAGAATGAATGTTGTCTAAGAACTTAGAAAAATTATTTTTAAATTGGACATTTACCTATTATGTACGAAAGCCTATTAGGGTCACAAAAAAAACTATCGCGTAATTACGAGATCATTATCGCGTAATTACGAGAAAACTATCGCGTTATTACGAGATAATCATTTTTTATCTCGTAATTACGAGATAATTATCGCGTAATTACGAGATAACTGTCGCGTAATTACGAGAAAATTACATATATATATATATATATATAGCTATACAGATCATGATTACCCTTCCGAGGCACCTGATAAAACGCCCGTTTTTATTAGCTCAACTGACCCAAAGGGTCAAGTGATCTTTTCCCATCACATGGCGTCCGTCGTCCGTCGTCGTCCGTTAACTTTTACAAAAATCTTCTCCTCTGAAACCACTTGGCCAAATTGAACCAAACTTGACCTTAATCATCCTTAGGGTTTCTAGTTTGAAAAAATGTATCCAAAGACCCCGCCCACCAACCAAGATAGCCACCATGGCTAAAAATCGAACATGGGGGGGGGGGGGGTGGTAAAATGTAGTTTATGGTTTATATCTTTGAAACTAAAGCATTAAGAGCAAATATGACAGGGTAAAAATTTTCAGACGAATCAGACTTCCCGTTGTTGGGATGCTGCCCCTGAATTGGTAATTTTAATGATTATTTTTCAGTTTTTGGTTATTATCTTGAATATTATAATAGAAAGATATAACTTGTAGGAGCAAAAATGTTTAGCCAAGTAAGAGCTACAAATAAGTCAAATGACCAAAATTGTCAATTGACCCCTTTAGGAGTTATTGCCCTTTAAAGTAATTTCTGCAATTAAGTACATTTTTTTTTAATCTTTTACAAAAATCTTTCTCCTCTTAATCTACTTGGCCAAATGAATTTTTATCCCTTAATTACGCGATAGTTTTCTCGTAATTACGCGATAATTATCTCGTAATTACGCGATAGTTATCTCGTAATTACGATATAATTATCTCGTAATTACGAGATAAAAAACTTCTTATCTCGTAAATACGCGATAGTTTTCTCGTAATTACGCGATAATTATCTCGTAATTACGAGATAAAAAACTTCTTATCTCGTAATTACGCGATAGTTTTCTCGTACGAGATAAAACTATGATTATCTCGTAATTTCGAGATAAAAATCTTATCTCGTAATTACGCGATAATTATCTCGTAATTACGAGATAAAACAATGATTATCCCGTAATTACGCGATAATTATCGTGTAATTACGCGATAGTTTTCTCGTAATTACGGGATAAAAAAAAAATTTTTGTGACCCTATTAGGCTTTCGTAATTATGGTCCAATATCCAAAATCTAACCATTTCGTACCCTAAAAAAAAACATTTCGTACCCTGACTTTTTCGTACCTTGACCTTTTCGTACCTCATGGAATATTGATATGCATACCATTTCGTTCCTCATGTGAAGAGCCAAAAATGTGCTAAATGCAAAAGTTAATGGAAGGGATTTAAGGTAAATTACAATGAGATCAATTAGGGGGGGGGGGGGGGGTGTTGGAAGGGAGGTCTTGACTTAAGCTTTTGTTTTGAGAGATTCAAAAATTTCCTCCCAAGTCCGTCTTATGAAGAAAAATGACCTAAAAATTTACTCATTTTCTAATTGTTTATTTATTGACAATCAGTTTCTTAATATAAAATGGCGCTTATAACGCGTAACAGTACTCGGAAGTAGATCAAGTATAAAGTCATATGCTCTTTCAAATTCAACAAAAAAAGGTCGAATGTGTTTTACATACTTAAAGGGCTAAGTTTAAACATAAAACACGTGAAGGTAGATTTCTTTTAAAAGAAAATCCTTTTTATCCAATTCTTCAGAAATGTTATTGAATTAGCCGTTTTCTCTCACGAAATTACGAAAATTGCGAATGGGAAAACGTGATGGAAGAAAAACTAGTCAAACTTGGAAGGAAGTTTGTATTAACCGATTCTGAGAGAAACATTTTAATACACCAAATCATTTAACACATGTTATGAAAAAGATCAATAACAAATGGTAAAGCATGGAAATAAGAAAAAGATAATATCGCGCTCTATCACCTAAGTTTTAAACAAGTGCTTAAGAATTCTGTGTTCATTGATCTTTGTTTTTTAGTTTTTGAAGGTCACGATCGGTTAACTTCTGCTCCTAAACATGAAAACAAACTAGCAGCCAAAGTAAAAATCAGTTTGAAAGGGCTTAAATCGTCAAATTGGCACCTACATGTAGCACAAACAATGTTCCGATCTTAGAGTACTCGTAGTTTCTTAGAGCTATTTCAAAGCCCATTAAAACTGATAAACAAATCGTCTTTTCCCATACTTAAATATCAATCAGTGCAATCAGTACACATCGAAATAATTAAGTGAAAAAACGTTATAAACATTCTGAGAAAAGAATATCCTTAGCTTGTGTAATGCCAAAATATTAGTATCAACAGGATGTAGAACCATAAGTATTCATAACTGTATAGCAATACATATTTAGTTATGCTTTAATTTTTTTAAACAAAATAAATGTTAGAACCAATGAAGACAATATTAAAAGATTTTACTATTGCTGGAATCAAAACATTTCGAAGGTCAAATCGGTTATGAAGCTGAAGGGAATTGACAACTAAAAATAAAAGTCTAAAAAGTTAAAGGAAATCTGCCTGTTTTCATCTCTTCCTGAAAAACGTACGTTCTTGAACGCTCAAATTTTTTATGAGCTGTTAATTTACAAAAAATGAACGTTTAATTATATTTCATGTCAAGAGTGCTGCCTACTTGGCTGGTTATACCCTTTTGAACGATACATCTACTAACACTGGTGTAAAAAACATTTATTTAAGATACCAGGCTTATTATTGAGGACGCCAAATGTTCAACTTGACTTAACTTATTACTTTAATAATAGACAAAGGTGATATGAGTTGGCAAAAGTACAGTTTTCAGATAATATGATATGTATTAAATATAGTTTCTGCGTATATGAGTTGCGAAAGCCACGAGGATATGAGACAACTAAATTTAATTTGGATAACATCAATTTAGTGAATTTATGTAATTGTAATAATTTTGTCACGGACCTCATGGATTTTCACAATCTTATCTTTTTATGGCTTTCTGACAAAAATAGCAAATTTTACTTAAAACATTGATACATCTGTTTTATTATAGCCGTTCTTTTTTCATTTGATCCACCTCTTCAAACCACATGTTTAAATTGTCCAAATAATAATTTTAATAAAAATCCCGAGCTCATTCATTAATTTTAGTATGTATTAAAACTACTTACAATGAATTATAATGATGCGACCTACCTTTATACTTGGTAACGCATGGTTATTCCATATATGACTCTCATCAGCATGAACTCTTAAATTAAGAATGTAATTGTTATATTTTGATGTATATTTTCCTATTCCCCTGTATCGTATTTTGATGGACTGGGTGTCATTCCAGTTGTCGTTTTGAATTTCGTGTCTGCAAAACCTCGAATTAACAGACAGTTTTCCTCTACACGATTTATCTGTATTATCGGGTGCATACATTTCTACTCTAAGTACACATTTATGTGCCTGCCCTGGTCTTGTCAAGCAACCAAACGGCACTGTAAATCTGAACTTAATGTGCTCCTCTTGGTTTTTTGCTATAGTTAATACAGTTGACGTTATCTACAACAGAAATGAATCTTTTTAAAACTATGAACTATAAGAAATGTGACTTTTCGTTAATTCCAATCACGTTTCCTATTTTGTAACCTTTATTCTTTCAATAACAAAAACAAATGCCTTGCATTTGTCATTTGTAGCACATATTTACCAGTTAGTATAAACACAAGATTCACCTTGATGGCGTTAGCCCGAATGTGTGTTTCTAATTTACACCAAGATATTATTGTCAATGCATTGACTATATTAGGTTAAGTTTAACAGATATCCTATAAATTCAAAGAGATATCTTATAAAGTATATAGGATATATTATTGACTTCAAATTATATAAGCTATATAATAAAGAATACAAGATATAATATATACTTTATAAATTATCTTATTAATTTGATAAGATATCGATTAATAAGATAAATTGAATAAAAATAAAAACGGCTTGCCATAATTATATATTCTGTTTTCTCATTGGATAAAAGCATAGGGAGTCCTCTTTTATAATCAATTATATCCAGCGGAGGAAAATCATGAGAGGTTCATATAAAATTTGGAACAGCTAACACGTACCTAAATATAGTAATGTAGAATGTTTCTAAGTTAAGGGAAGTATACATAATATGATTTTATTCGATGACTCAATTATTATCAAACCATCAGCGCTTTCGATCTCGCAGACGTCAATTATACGTTTCTGTCATTAAAATATTGCAGATGCAGCTACATACCTGCTGAAAAATGGTATGATGCTTAGACTGTTTAACTTCATCCTCGCGATTTATGATTTTTTTAAACCAAATTAATATTTAATCTGCATTATCAAAACTATAAGAAAATAATTTCATAAAAATGTAAAAAAAAATATATAAAGTAAAAGTGTTACCAGGCTAATGGAAAAAAGGCACCAAACAATTGGAAAAAAGGCATTACAAAATGAAAAAACCAAAACATAAAACATGGTATTATTTAAATCTCTAGTATAAACGATCTGTAAAACAAATTGCCATAGCAAATATATATTGAGTATAAATACAAGAAGCAGTTAAATATCATGAGCAAATACTAGGATCTTTGAGATGGATCAAAAGGTCATGAAATCAATAATTGTAAACTTTTAATATAAGTTGGCGTTGGGGTATGTCAGATACATGGGGTAAATACATTAGTATACCAACCTCATCAAAAGTCATTGGTTTTATAAAATCGGTGCCTTTTATGTCTGACTATATGGTATGCGTTTTGCTAATTGTGTAAGGCCTCACGGTTACCTATAGTTGATTAAATCCACGTCATTTGGACTCTAGTGCACAGTTGTCACATTACAAATCATACCGCATATTTTTATTTTATATTGTCGTGCGTGGATTTTTATTTTAGTTTTATTGAGTTTTCCTTAAAAACATTTCCTAAGCAAGGATATTTTACGACAATACCATACTAATATATCTGTTATATACTGATTCAAGGTTATTTGGGGAAACTTTTTCTTTGTGTTTTTGTTTTGCTGAAATTTAATAGGAATTCATATTTATAGTCTTGCTTCTTATCTGAATGTCAAATTCTAGCATGAATCTGTATATTGAAATCCCTAGTATAAACTAAGGATTTAAAATACATGCTAATGAATCCATTTTAGTAGAAATTGAATATTTAAGAACGTGCAGAGAGCATTTAATTAAAGAAATCTTACCGAAATACCAGCAAAAAAATCACTACTCTTTGCAGATGGTCCTGGTCTTCCTTTAATGTTATTTTTCGCTCTAACAACACAATTTATCTAAAAAAAGAATATTAACAAATACTATCCTTTTCAAATGCTTTGATTAGAATGAAGTACACCTATCGATATTATTATTATCTGAGTGTAATCAGGGTGCATGGAATTTTAATACCATACACCCATGATGAAACCAAGATAACGAATTTTTTTCTTATGAAGCGTTTCTTTGTTCATTGATACTGGGCAAATCTTTTCGCCGCCATCTTAGCAGACGTAATTGAATAAAGTTACGTCCCTTTTACTGAAAACACAATCAAATACAACGGATTAAAAACAAATTAATATAAAAAAAGAATATATTACACTGTGTTACACATATTATTGTAAAATGTCATGGATAAATCAGATGTCATCTAAACTATTGCAAGCTGGTGAACTGGTACTTAACAAACATATAACAACACTTATAAATAATACAATAGAATCAATTGAATTTCCAAACAGACTTTATAAAAAAGCTCACGTCGTACCACTACATCAAAATTAACGATCCACTGGATAAAAATAACTACAGACCTGTGAGCATTTTACCTACAATTTCAAAAGTATATGAAATGATTATGTCTTACTCAGTTAACTGAGTTTTTTTAAAATATATTTCAAGCTTTTTAATGTGCATTTAGAAATAGTCATGGATGTCAGACAACTTTGCTTAGAATCCTTCAAGATTGGAAAACAGCTTTGGATAAAAATATGTATATGGCAGCAATACTTATGGATCTTTCGAAAGCTTTTGACTGTCTAACACATGAAACTTTTTTCAAGTAAATTATCTGCCTATGGTCATTCTTCAAAATCAGTGAAATTACTTCAAACTTATCTTACAGATCGTAGGCAACAAATCAAACTTCAGGGAGTACTCAGCAGTTGGGCTGACATCAAGAAAGGGATACACCAAGGTTCAATCTCGGACCTCTATTATTTAATATTTTTATAAATGACATATTCTATTTTATTGAACATGGAACCCTATATAACTATGCTGACGATAATGCTCTGTCATATGCTGACAACAATTTTGAAAATTTATTGTATATACTTGGAAGAGAAAGTGCTGTTTTAATTGATTGAATTAAATCTAATTGTATGCAGGCAAATCCTGATAAATTCCAAGCCATTGCAGTTGGCATATTTGCAACAAAAATAATACCACTAAATTAGAAAAAAAATTAGGAAAGGGCTTTACGATTTATATATGACTATGTTAGTTCGTATGATGAATTACTTGTACGAGCCAAACTTCCATCACTGAAAATTAGACGTATGCGTAACATGTCTATTGAATGTTTTAAAATTTTATATAAATTGTCACCACTTTGATTACATGATTTAGTTCTACTGAAAGATTGTAAATATGATGATTTTAGAAAATAAATGCTAATTTCAGTCAGTTAAAAAATATTTTAAAATCATGGAATAGAAATGACTGTGCAAGTGCACAGTTTGTGCAGATTATTAATTAATATATTATGTAAAAATATTTACCATTTAGATCATATGCTATTTTTTTTATATTTGATGCAATGCATTTTACCAGCCTTTTAATCATGCTTAGTTTACATTTTATATGCTTTTAACTATAATACCTATCTTATCATGCTTATAATCTGCTTATTACCACCATGCTTAATTATAGTGCTTCCTTTTGTGTTATGTAATTTATTGCATGCGTATTATGTATTGTATTGTTATGTCTTGTTTGTCGATTAAAAGCTCATTAGAGTTTATGCTTTGCCCTTGTTTGCATATTACGCCAACTCTAAATAAAGCTTATTTATTTTTATTTATTTATTATTTCCCAGTGTAATTATTTAAGCTTTTGTGGGGGTATTTACACCATGGTAAATAACCAACCAGACTGCAAAATTCTTGCTTCATACGAAATAGTAGAGTTTATCCGGAAATATACCTTCCTACTATACCACATTTAACTTGTAGCGATAATAATGTACGTAGAGTATACGTATAAACAGTCTTCTGTTCCCATGTTTATGTTGCGAGCGAATAATTGTTTTCAGATCACTTTTAGCCAAATTCCGAAGCCCTAGACAAAAGTCAATGTGAAAAGAAACCACAAAACTCAATCTTTAAAAATATACTTTGGATTTTTTAAAACTCATCCAGTTTAGCAGTATGGTGTGAATTGGGTGTCTTACCTGTTAGCATAAAGTGTTATAAAATGTAGAAATGCTATGCACGTCTCAATGAGATTGCTGAACAGTCTGGCGGTCTACATGAAATTCGCAAGGATAAAATTCTCACAAATAGAGAAAATAAAGAAAGGCTTCGATGTGCATACTCAGACAAGCCCTAGGACAGTCATAAGTCTATCCATACTCATTTCCTACGGTATTTCTTAGTACAGATCCTAGGACAACTTCGGTAAACAGGCCAAGGCTAAAGATAGAGTTCTAAATATTTGTAAACAAAGCAGGCATTGATCATGTATAAACAAAGGAGACAAATTCATAGGGTTTCCCAATATGTGTAAAATTGATAAGTATATTTTTCATTAATTAAAACAGTGTTTCGGTATTAGTTAGTATTTGCCTTATCAATAACTGTCAAAATTGTTTCATTGATTTGTTTTTGTTAAAAAATGTTTCAAATAACTACATGTTTTACGAATTTCCTCCCCTTTCACAGGTAACGCCGAAGTCCTCTTTTTAATTTCAAACCAAGAGTTTGCAAAAGTATTATAATTGTTATACATAACACACTCACTGTAACGTCTAATTTTTTAATGTCTTTTTCTGTAAGAATTAGATTTGACAAATGTGTTTTACTCTTCGTAATTGTCAGAATCGACTCGCCATTAACAGCCCAGGTTACTTGGTAAAATGGACTTTTGAGGCTTGAAGCGTCTCCAAAATAACAAACAAAGCCAATAATCTGCCTTGGGGGTGCATCTAATTCATCTGGAATCAAATCTGTTTGTATTACAACATTTTGTAGAGTCTCTTTTGGGGGTGTATCTACAAAAGATATTTTAATTCGTATGATAGATTGAAAGATTGCTGGATGGATAAATATATAAATGAATGATGGAAAGATTGATGGTTAAACGGAGGAGAGAGAGAGAGAGAGAGAGAGAGAAAGAGAGAGAGAGAGAGAGAGAGATTACAAATCTAAGTTTGAAGTTAACTGTTTTGTTGTCGTTAACCCACTTGTTTTTCATGTCATTCTTTTAATTAACACAATTAAGTATTATAGATACAATTGATAAGCATTGATTCTTGAAAGAGAAACAATGATCCCGGAGTATTAATGGTTTGTTTTTCATGAATCAACGCTTATTCGTTATGACTCTAACTTAAACTTTTGTTCTGATGTGTTTTGAAGATTAAAGCCTTTTCTTAATTAAAAGGTATTTTAAGTGATTTTGAATAACCATGTTATCATGTTCAACGACGAATTAATAAATCAAAGTTCACAAATAATCGGTTATAGAAATACAAATATAACATAATACGTGTCTTTAAATTAGTATTAATATTATACGTAATTTACCAATTAAGACATATTCGAATGTAGTTCTAAGTATATATAGTATGTATATTACGGACATTTCTAGCAAGAAACCTTATTCACGATTCACTCGTATAGGGATTTGCGAATGAACCTTTGTAAAGATATATAGTAAAACATTTTAAATCATACTATATTTATAAAACAAAAATTGACAAATTGAATGTAATCATTTTCTTTTCAAAAACGTGAAATAGCCAATAGTAATCCAAAACCCACTATTATTACAAAGATATCCACAATACCATACAAGATAAGAAAAACGGAAAAACTAAAGGAACAACAAAGAGAAAACAGGGATTCGAACCTAAACCGACAAATCTCTACTTTTAACTTGACTCTACAATTCATTGATTTAAACCTCGCGGCTACCAACTTATACTATACGATTGTCTAGTATGTATATATAAGGGTACAAGCCCTGTGTGTTATGTTGTACTGATGTGTATCATATGTTCATTGATATATTTAAAATAATCATCGAAATTTTAAACTATTGGCAGCCGAGAGGTTTCGTCGATGTATTGATGTCAGTCACACATAACGGACCTCAAAGAGGGGTTCGATTCTCAGTGAAGGCAAATAAAGTTAAAGGCAAGTTTTTGAATTAATTAGATTAGTGAACAAAAATCAGTAGATTATTCAATCGTTAATATTTACTTGTTTTGCACCTTTTCTTGTAATTTGTTTTAACTCAACATTACTAAAGGAAAAATGAAAACGTTAAAACTAATGTTTCGAATTTATACACTTCAAGAGAATAAATGCTTAATATTTTGTAATAAAAAGCTTATGCAACCCTTCGTTTGGCTTATATCTATGAAGTTGCACATTAAGAAAAAAAGCAAATCTAATTCGTTGTTGATATCATGATTTCTAAAAGCATACACATGTTTAATTATGTTAACCCACATACAATTGACTGTCGAACACACTTAAAAATACTATTTTTCCTAATACCTTTCTGTGCCAAATTTTAAGTTTGGTTAACATTGTTATATTTATCTTTTTCATGTATTAATGTGTAGCGAAGTATATATTTGAAAAAAAAGACTTTGCACCAGCAATGTCCGTTTGTCGATGAGTATGACTTCAACTTTAACAATGTTGTTCGTACTATATTATTCATTATTTTCAAAAATCTATGCTTTTTCACCTTTCGTCAGTCATACTGGTATATCACATTTGCAATTCAAAGTTTCTAAAATCGATTAACACAAATTTTTATGTAAAGACAGTACTTACGGAGCATGTAAAAATAAATTGCATTTAGAAATGCATTTCAAGAGATGCATCTCCGAAACAACTTAAATGGAATAAAGTAAAATACTATATAGATATAAGAAGATGTGGTATGAGTGCCAATAAGACAACTCTCCATCCAAGTATACATGAATAGTACTAAGCGGTTTTTACCGGGCTTTAATTCATTTTCGAAATCAATATACAAACGCCATTTGTTGTTCCTTTTAACGATACTTCTTTTTGAACTATTTTGGGTTTTCAGCTATACATTTTCTTAACTCATTCTTGATATTAAACGACAAAAGTATTTATATTTATCATACTTATTGTTATTATTTACCACTCGAGTACTACATTACCTGCAATGCCGGTGCCTAAAAAAATAAATATTGTTGTTGAAGTTGTAATAAAATAAATTCTTCGCCTAAAACTCAAAATTTAATGAAATACAAAAATATAATTTAAATTATTTTGTACATCAAAACATCTTGTAAATCATAAGAAACAAATAAAAGACCTCAACCTTATTTTCAGAAATAAACATTATTATTATTTGATATCGTCATTTGAAAATACAGATGTTTGTAGAAAGTTAACTAAAAAGCATGAACAAAACACTTGATTCATTAACCTTTTGCATGTCTCTGTAATGTTAAAGTTCTTTAAATGATGGCAGGTTGAACCAGATCGAAATGTTTTGATGGTCGTAAACTAATGCTATAGTGTATCATTTTGTCTAAAGGTCTTCATTGCATTACAGGTTAGAATATATATTATATGATTTACGAGTGAATATCGAAACATTTTTGTGATACATTCAAAATTTTATGGTATGAGAGGGTGGATCAACATTAATGGTGTACTCTTAGGTTTTGTCTTACAATAAAGAATATATATATGATTTAGGGGTGGGGATATGAATATAAGCAGATTTTTTTATGTTTAATAATTAATTATAAATGTCTTATCAAGGCAAATAAGTAAATGCATGCCTTGAGGTGGTTATCTGAACCTGGAACATTATAAGCAATTTGTATATGGAAAGGCGGGACATGACCCTCAGGGTCAAACCCCTAAATCATTGTAAATTTCGGGCAAAGTGCTGAAATAAGACAACAGTAATTTACCAATGTTCAAATATCATAGATCGAATAGAAAAAAACAAAATAAGGTAACGAACAAACACTGAGTGAATCCAATAGGAGCGGAACCAGGTGCTAATCTGGCTACTTTCTGTTTGAGAGGTTGGCGCCTTATGAAAGAATTGGAACAATAGTTCCATCTTTCAAAAAACCACAGCATGAACACCAACAAATGTGCTCAGATGTTATCTGCTGCCTTTCTTAAATTAAACTTTAATTAAGCTAAACTAAATTAAGGTAAGGTAAGCGTCTTCTGCAATGCATATATCACCTGCCATGCAAATCCAAATCCAGACAAAATGTCATAATCGGAAGTAGGTCACAATTGGTA